TACCCATGGTCACGTCATCATCACTACTCGAAATCAATCACGCAAAGTACTCGCTCCCAATTCCACTCACCACGTCGCTAGGTTGCTGACTGCTACTAGAGTATCGAGATGGTCATCACCAAGCAGCTTTCTGCGCTTCTCCACCACATCCTCTTTCAATGGCAAGGCGTCCTTCTCTCTTCCTAGCTTCGAGTAAGAGGTTGCTAGGTTGTTGACTGCTGCTAGAGTATGGGGATGATCATCATCTAGCAGCCTTCGGCGCTTCTCCACCACATCCTCGCTCAATGGCAAGGCATCCTTCTCCCTTCCCAGCTTCGAGTATGAGAACGCTAGGTTGTTGACTGCTGTTATAGTATCGAGGTGATCGTCACCAAGCTGGCTTTTGCACTTCTCCAGCACATCTTCTCTCAACTTTAAAGCCTTTTCTTCCTTTCCGACTGTACTGTATGATTGCGCTAGTGTTTCCATTGCATGTAATATGATCATAGAGTCCGCTTCAAGGGATCCTGTCCATATTTCTACACAACGGTCCATATGGCTCACCGCCTGTTGACCTTCTCCGACTTCTACAAACACAATCCCAAATCCATAGTGATCACCAGTTTCGGTCACGTCATCCAAACCAATCAGCCGGAGGTGAGGTGATAGTGACCTATTGAATGTGATATATTCCCATCGAGTACCTACAGTGATTGCAGAGCCCAAGAGCCGGGCAACTAGCCGAGATGAAGGATGATCAAGGACCACCCCATAACTTGCCTGCACAAATGATTGGACGAGGATATGCATCGAGTAGAACTTTTCTTCATCTTGTATTGCAGATCGAACGAGCGAGTACTTTTCACATTCCTTGATCATAGCATCAAAATCGAATGAGGACCAGTCTCCTTGTGGAGTTATGATCCTAGTAAGAGCGTCCGCATATTCGACGGTCTCTCTCTTTAATGGTAGCTCGGTCACCTTCGCAACATGTCGGAAACGTCGAAGAGCTGCCTTTTCAATGATACTTCGGGGAATAGATCTAGCATCTAAGTGAGATAATAGCCCAAGTAGATCTTGCACCCGCGTCGAAAGCTTCTTGAACGACATTTCGACCGTTGTGGCTACCGAATGTGGATAGTCATGCAGCATATTGAACTTGCATTCAAGAAGCTGTGAGTGATTCTCTCGGTATGTCTCGAGGTAAGTATCAAGACATTGGCGCGATAGAATATATGCTCCGGCATGAGCTAGAGCGAGAGGTAGACATCCAAGTTCTGTTGCGATCTTTTCAGCGAATTGCTGATTGGCCTCGTTATTTTTGTATCCAGATGACTCTAACAATAGAGCAGTAGATTTTTCCAATGGCAATGAGTCGACGTGGTGAGTGGAATTGGGAGCGAGTACTTTGCGTGATTGATTTCGAGTAGTGATGATGACGTGACCATGGGTA